TTGTATTCATCTCAGTTTATTTAGTACATCTGGAAGTCAGGCTCAACACAGCTATTATTTCCCTGTCTCCTTTGCTGTCCTGACCTAGGACGTGGCATTGTGTAATGCAGCTTCTCCCCCAAGTGCCTGTTCCAGTCTTTGTTCTGTGTGTAACGGTACAGAGCTAATGTAATTGGAGTGCTATATAAATGCAGTTTGAACATTCTGCAGCCAAAATAATGTATTTGATAATAGAGAACGTTCAAATAGTTTTTAACTTCATTAAAAGCTGGAAAGAGATTAGCAGGTTTAGTTGCTATTTTCTGAATGTACAGCAGATGGTGCTTAACAAATACGTTTTAAAGCCAGTGTCTGTAAAACAGACTGGCAATCTGAAATTTAATCATGCTTCTTGTTTTCTTTCTAATTGAAAAAACAGCCATTTGAACCAAAGGCCCCCAACAGGATTGACTTAGTTTAGTGTACACAATGTGCACGATGTTTGAAGGATGAGGATACAACAGCAGTTCTTCCAAAATAGCCTCTGGTGTGCTATAAGGAACTATACATTTGGAAAGGAGTTAGGCAATAACAGGATCATTTCTCTCTTGATTGTTGCCCTTTCCCTCCAGGCTCATCAAGGTTTACTTAACGAATGGGAGAGATCCAAGCTCCCAAGTACTACTTGCCATGTGGACAAAAGAAGAGGAAGAAAATTATGTGATGAGCCCCAGACTAATGCTGCTGAACGCTCACTAGGGAAGCACTGCTTCCTACACCTGTCAGTGATTTAAGGTTGTTTTTTTTTTTCCTTCTGGCACCAACAGATCAGCCTGTGCTGTGGCTGTGTGCAACCCAAGTGTGGGTGGCACCTGTCTCATGACTAAGCCAGAACTTGCGTCATTGTTTCTCATTTTGGCATCTTATTAGCAAGACAAGCAAGGTGCTGCAGCTCCAAGGTGCTATGTATGTTCTGCAGTGTCAGAATCTCAAGATGAATCCCTAATAAGGCAGCTGTCGTTAGATATAAGCAAAAGCTACCCTGAGCAAACAGAATACTGCGACAGGAGGCAATGAGTCAGGATGCCACAGAGAATTCAGTGACATGCTTAGTAAAGTTTTAACTAAGGTTTACTCTTTCTGAAGCTGTTTTGTTCTTGCTTTTATTTCCCTCAAGAAGTTTGATATCTTTTAACAAAAATAATGTTTTTTTTTCTTTTTTTTTCTTTTTTCTTTTTTCCCCCAAAAGGGCTCATGATGAACATCTAAAAGAGGGAGATTCCTTGACATCAGTTGCTAGTAGTTGTGTATCAGTCCCAACTTTGTCTGATCTCTGCTTAACCCAAAGGGCACTTGGTCAGCTGCAGACCACGTGCTGTGGAACGGCCATGCAAAGCCTACTGAGAAGACCTTTTATGCCTACAAAACTGGCCTAAATCCCTGGATTTGCACTGATGTGAAAGAATGAAGCATTTTTCAATGCTCTGCTTGCTTGCTAAGCAGCCAGTCACACTACAGAACTGCCACAAACTTAGGGTCAAAGCCAGATTCCCAATTAGTGCCACATCTGGCCATCTCTGAAAGTCCCAGAAGCAAAGGGAATGGGATACCCATCTCCACATCCCATAGAAGCAGCTGGGGAGCCCATCCTCATCCCTGCCTGCAGTAGTTTGAACAATAAGCCAGCCCCATGCAGCTGCAGGTCTAGTGCTGGTGTTAAGATTCCTTAAAGGAATTGAACATATGAATTGGATGCTTTTCCACTGCATCTGCATAAAGATGCATGTAATGACCTGCCAGTTGAACTTGGAGACAGAAGTCTCACATCTGCAGTATTTTTAGTGTGGTTCAAAAACAGAGTGATTCACAATTTGGGCCTGACCAGATTAATTTTGAAAATACGTGGTGCCATGAGATGCTATGAATCATATCTCTAAATAGAAAAAAAATCAGCTTTGCTAATCAAGCAAAGCCAGAGTTCAGGTTTGAGAGTGGAAGTGAGTGGATGACTCGTGAGGGTCAAACAAAGCCCCAGAGATGTGAGTGAAAGACCAGCTCATGGAGGAGACTGATGGTCTGTTAGGGCCTTACACGTGCAAGCTGTGTGAAGGGGCCTTGTTCCTCGCTCCAGAGCTGAGGGGGTTACACTGCTCCTAGTGTCTCTGTGGCATGTGATGGCACAGTTGTTCACAGATGATGAGAAATGCTGTGGATGCACCTGAGGTATAATCAAACTTAAATGGCCAAATTCTTTCTGAAAGCACAGTAGAAGAGGCAATTGAAGGAGCCTCCAAGCATGATCCTAGGAGTGTTTGGAGGAGTACACAATTACAGCCAAGATTGTCCAGAGTCCGTATGTAAACATGCATCAGCTCAGCTGCGACTGCTGGCCCATCTTCTCCCTTTGTTTAAGTTCTTGGTCTCCACGGCTGCTGCAAGCAGATCACAGCACTGCTGAGGCAGCAATCAATGCTGCTCTGAATTCAGCTTACTACTGAGAATGCCAAGTTTAATCTTGAACTCAGTGAAACAATCCCGGGCAACAGAATGAGTAGTTTAAGTTGCAAATCATTATGACTATGAAGCTTTGAGAAAAAGAAGCCGTTGTCATTTAAATGGTGAAAGCAATTTCTCTCTCCTTCTCCTAGACCCCCAAATCAGCATATCCCTCTCTAGCATGGTGGATGATGGTGCTTCGCTACTTTGAGCCTTCCCAAGGCAGCCAGGACTAAGTCTCACCTGGAGCCCAAGTCCTCCCTGTCTCCTTCTGTCCCTACTGCAGCCTGCTGTGAGCTGGCTCTATGCAGACCTGCTTCAAGGGTGGTAGGAATAACGCAGCTTTAGAAGAATAGCTGAGCAAAGCCCTGACTAGACTGCATGTTTTACAGCTGTGCCTACAGGTACCTGATCAGCACCCCTCGAAAGGGATGTTTAGTCAGTGTCACAGCTCCCACTGAGGAAAAAATAAGAATAAAATAATTGAGACTGCCTGGCTACAGGTGAAATTTAGAATGGACATATTAGAAGGAGTTTTATTCCTTAGAAAGAAGTATCTATTACGCTTGTGTCAATATATCTCGATTTCACAGGTTTACTTTGTTTTCTCAAAAGTGAAAATGGTAACTTGGGGACACCAATAAGGGTGACCCCGGGAGCAGGTGGCATTGTGGTATATTGTTTAAAGATGTATGAGTTGCTCTTTCTTATCTGTGGGTTTATCTCTATCCCCGAGAACCACACCAACTAAGCTGAAGCAAAATGAGTTATGTCAGTGAAGTTAAGCAAGTGTCTGCTGGCTTGGAAATACATTCTTACCCTGACTGCCTGGACCACTGAACTGGCTCCAGAGGCATCCTGTATGGCAACGGGTGGCTGCTATTCAATTTACATCCAAGCTCAGCTCTCACTGAATCTAAAGGTATGCCAAGCACTTATTCAGAGAAAACAGAAAGGCAATTACACCTCTTGTTTAATGTCATTGGATCAACAGACAGCACAATACCAAGGCACAGAGTGTAATGATTAAGGCCTGAGCAGCATCTCAGCAGTGAGTGCCTTGAAAGCCAGGGGCAAGGATACGCTGAGTGCACTGGTTTCACTGCAGTAGTGTGCATGGAAGGAACTGGAAAGCGAGCAAACAGCAGGAGAAACCACTGAGAGCGTGAAACTTAAAAGGGTTAGAAAAACTTGTGCTACCTGGGCCTCCTGGAAGGAAAGCTTGATCTACACAGAATTGTGTTTTAAAAGGCTGTATTTCTCTGTCTTTGTATATGAAAAGGATCACTGTATCAAAGGCAGTAGCTCTTACTGCAGCCAAACATGACCAACTTGCTTAGTTGTGCACACCTGCCTAAGGATTAGCACTTACAAGTCAGGAGTGTGGAACAGAGGCCCAGTACCACAAAGTTCAAAATCTATCCATTCCCAGTGTAGCTTGTGAAACAGTGGGAACCCAGCTTGTATCAGCAGACACAGCCTTTTAATTCCTATCATCACAGAGCAGCAATTCATTAAAGATACATCTCAGAAATGCACCAGACTTATCAGAGCAATCACTTACTCAGGAATCATTAGAACAGCAGAGTTAGATCCTTAGATCCTGCAACCCTTCCAAGCACAGGGGTTCCATCAACAGACCCTAAAGCTCACTTTCCTTTGTACAGTTCTTCATGATTATCTATCTGCATGGCAGCTAATAGGGTGCTTATTAAAGTCTTCATGATCGCTTTAAAAAAAGATTTTTAGAAAAATCAGTTATTAGTCAAATAATCCATTTGCATAAATATTACTTTCATACTTTCAATTACTTTTGTCATTTCCTAGTTAAAGGAGCAGCATCCCATTCAGAAGGAAAGCAGATTTGCCTTCAAAGGAGCCCAAAACACAGAGCCAGGTCTGAATACTGCTCTGATGATGACTTACAGGAAAAATCCAGCTTACACTGCTGCAGGGCTGACTCCATACAGTTTTAATAGGCAGCTCTGAAACAAAATCAGGAACTGCAAATCCAGCTCCAAAGCTAGCGTTTGTTTTTGATACCCTGCTGCTATACCATAGGCAAGCAAAGCACAAACCTTGGATTCTTCTTAAGGCTGAACACTTCATCAAAATACTAACAGTTGTAAAGAACACACTCTGCATTAAGTTCTTTCTTCCTTGTTTTGTACTTCCAAGCAGTCACACTTGTCTATTCTAACTTTGTTAGCTTGTTCCAGAGAGCAGAGAAAGCAAACCAGCTCCTACTGAAAGAGGGGGCACACAACTGAGAGTGAGAAAGCACTTCTGAAGGTCATTACAAGCAAAAACTGAATGCTAGGATGACCCTGAATGTTCATCTCCATAGTTGAATGAATAATGATTATGTTATCAGAGCGACGTTAAATATTGACTATGAACGCATTATAAATGGTTTTCCCTGTAATTATATGGGCAAGATTAACTGAAGTTCTACCTGGAAGCTATAATTTTTGTGATACTTTGTAACTCTACTTAATGGATCTCGTAACAAATGACCTATACTAGCAGGAAATACATCAGAACAATTTTTATTTGGACTGCTAAAATACAAGCAGTACATTTCTAAAAAGCGATGTACGCAGATTTTTAAAAAGCATTTAAAACAAGAAGAAATATTATTTAGGTTACTTTGAAGGTAAAAACTTTCTTTACAAGTTGTTTTCGTTAGCTGTAAACATGCTATACACCATACTTACGCATTTAATTGTACAGAAATTTTTAATTAAAACGGGCACAAATTCTTGATAACTTTTCTGGCATGACTTTTGTTCTAAGTATTCCTCTACTTCTTATATACTTGTTATATTTCTTCTATAAATAAAACAAACTAACAAAGAAAAAAAGCCGACGGGTTAACTTTGCAGACTGCATTTCCACGAGTGCCTTCACCAGTTGTAAACGAGCAGAGATTTTGTTCTGAATGCTGAACTGCAATCTGAATTCTTTGTAAACCAGTTCATTCCCATAACGGACAAGGCTGGTAAACTGTACAAACTAAAGGTTTGTTAAGGGGTTCCTGAGGGTTTTCCGGAGGTCCTTGAAATGAATAAATGATTTTACTTTGAAGCTCACAAGCTTAGGGAAGCAGTTTGTACCTGCAGCTATACATTAAGTGTAAACACTTTTTCTCTCAGCACTGTCCAGCAGCAGCAGCACCTCTCCTTTGGGTGAGGTCCCCCCAGTCCCTTCCCTCACACCCCACCCGACGTTCACACAGCACGCCAAGCCAGAAGCGTGCTCCCCCATAGCACCAGTGAGGCGGGGGGGTCCCAAAAGCAGGCAGGCGTAGCATCGCGTCTCTGCAAGGGGCGCACAGGCTTTCATCCACCTATTCTCAAGGCCGCCTCCACAGCTTCCCGCCTCCACCAGCTGCCTTCGGAGTCAGGCCACACGAGGGAAGGCGGCGGGGCTTCCAAGTGCGAGAGCTGCGGGCACGGCTCGGAGCCCGCGTTCCCGGCGGGCTCAGGGTGCGTGCTGCAGGACGAAGGCGCACTTCTTGTAGGCGGCGTACAGCAGCAGGATGGCGCGCATCATCTGCTGGCACATGGCGGCGGCCACCCTCGCTTCCGCCTCCCGCAGCCCGCGGGCCCACCACCGCCGCGGGTCGACCACCCTGCAAAAAGCCGAGCGCTCCGACACACGCAGGACGCCGATCCGGCGCGGCGGCTGCGCCGTCACCAACCGCTCGAAGACGGCGTCGAGGCTCTGCAACCTCACGGCTTGAGGACGCGGCAACGCGGCTCCCCCGCCCCGCCGCCCGCCCGCCGCCGCCTGCAGGCCGGCCCAGCGGAACGGGTGAGCCGAGGCGGCGGGCGGAGGCTGCGGCTGCGTTCCCCGCAGCCAGCTCAGCGACTCGTCCAGGGGCGAGGGGGCCCACAGCTGGTAGCCGTCCGCCATGGCGCCCCGCGGCCGGCCGGCATCTGCCCAGCCGTTGGACTGGGAAGCCGTCTCTCGTCCTCCCAGCAGCCCTCCCGGCACCGCGGCTTCGTCTGCCGTTGTCTCATCGCACATCGTCCTCCTGTTAGTGCTTTATTTTATTCCCCCCCCCCCACCTATCCTCAGAGCTCATCGTTTTCTGACTCAGTTACTGCGATCTGCCTGTCTGCAGTCTCCATTGGAGCTTATGTGTGCCCCGTGTTTAGGGCTAATCCTGCTTGACCAACCTAGTGGCCTCCTCTGGCGGTGTCACTGCAGCAGCGGACAAGGGAAGAGCCACTCGTGTCATCCGTGTCAGACCTTTGCCATGGTACCCTGAACATCCCTCTCTACAAATGGGAAAGATGGGGATTTGGTGGGTGGACTGTTTGATGGATGAAGACCTGGCTGCAGGTTCGGGTCCAAAGTGGCTCAATGTCTGGATGTCTGGATGGCTCATGATGAGCGGTGTCCCCCAGGGGTCAGTGCTGGGGCCAGTGCTCTTTAATTTCATCATCAGTGACATCAGCAGTGGGGTTGAGTGCAGCCTCAGCAAGTTTGCTGATGACACCAAGCTGTAGAGGGACACGATGCCATTCAGAGAGACCTAGACAGGCTTGAGCAGCAGACCCAGGTGAACCTCAGGAGGTTGAACAAATCCAAAAGTGCAAGGTCTTGCACTTAGGTTGAGGGAACCCCCATGACCAATAAAAACTGGGGGATGAAAGGGTTGAGAGCAGCCCTGCGAAAAAAGACCTGGGAGTATTGATGGATGGCAGGCTGGACATGAGCCAGCAATGTGCCCTCACAGCTCAGAAAGCCAGCCGTGTCCTGGGCTGCATCGAAAGATGCATGGCCAGCAGGGTGAGGGAGGTGATCCTGCTGCTCTACTGTGCTCTGGTGAGGCCTCACCTGGAGTACTGCATCCAGATGTGGAATCCTCAGTACTGGAGCTGTTGGAGCGCACCCAGAGAAGGACCACTAAAATGATCCAAGTGATGGAACACCTCTCCTATGAGAACAGGCTGAGAGAGCTGGGGCAGTGCATGTGAGTAAGGATCAGTGGGCTTTGCCAGGGACTGATTCTCTGAATCATGTTCCAATAAATGCTTTGCTGTGGACAGGGGTGGTTGTTGGTGGGTTTTTTCCTTTTTCTCTGCAGTTGTAATGATGCTTGGGGCAAAGCCTCCTGGGCGACGTGATGATCCTCCCACCAGTGAAGAAATGAGATGTCATGGAAATTATAGCCTCAGATGGTGACTACACTCAGTAAGAAATTTGGTGGTGGTAGATTGCCAGACTTCCCTGCAGTAGCTGTGTCTTTCAAGTTGTTGCTGACCTGCTTATCGTTGCAAACAAAATGGTCCTTTTAAACGGTTCTTGTTTGATACAAGGCTGTTGGAATGTATGTATACCAAGTATAAAGGAATATGTACGAAGTGTTCCTTAGAAATACCAAAGCAAACAAATATCAAAACAGTCATCACTGTTATGAGAACACGTGAAACTCCCAATCCAAAATAGTGTTTTATTATGCTTGTGATGAAAGGAGGGTCCAATGTCACCTATTTAACTTAGCATAGAATAAGTTTTCGTTTTGGATTAATCTCTCAGGAAATGCATTTTTTAATTCACTCTAGCATCTGTGATTTGCATTAATATATGCAAAGCATTGTAACAGCCATACTTCTTCCAAAAGCAAATCTCTTAGAATTAAATGCTCTGTTTTTCTAGAGGGAATTGCCTTTTGTTTGAAAAAATCCCTAAACATGAATCTTTTTTTTTTTTATTAACCAACATACTGAGAGCACAGTACTCTGGCTTTGACAGCAAATCGCACAGAGCATTTAGAAATAGTGGTGTGAAGGATTTAATTTTGCCTTTTATAAAACTGGAAAATTTCTTTACAATATATGCATATATGTTGGCTACACTGGAATGTCTCCATCCAGTACTAAAAGCATATGTGGGTGTCTGTATATATGCATATTATGTGTGTAGGTATACATACGTATTTTCAGCCTATTCTAAGTGGCAAATCACGATATTATTTCATTTTGTGAATCAGGTTTTCAATCCTGAGGTCACTGCTCAGCCCGTTGATTTAGGACAATTTGCTACTGATTTTACAGGGAGATTTGCTTTGTTACAATCTGAATAGAAAACTGATGGCGTCTTCACCTTTTCAATCTGACTTAATACTGGGTGACTGTGATTTGTTTCTTAGGAGCATAGGGGACCTGGAAGACCACAGTCTGTTTCTGTACTGTTAATGTGAAGTCTACTTATCCAGCCTCCTGCTTGCTGTGAAACCCTTCCAGGTAATCTTTTTTCAGATGTCAGCATACAGTTGGGTTGTACCTTGCTGTGAATTCCTTGTGAAAAAAAGTAATAATTGGAAGATATGGTAGAGACTCTATTCCACTTTGTTTCTTTAGTTTTTATTTTTATTATTGTTATTATTTATTTTTTTCAGTCTTGAATCTGTTTTAACTGTATAGATATCTTTAAAATAGCAGAAGGATGGCTTTTTGGAAAGACAGAAAACTGTATTTAAGGCTACATTACTTTTCTTTACGTCTTTCTTGTTGCTCAGCTATTTTGGTCCTTTTATTTTGTTTTCTGTGACTCAAGGCCTAAGATTCACTGTATCATTTGACACATTTAGCTTCATAAAAGAGCCCCAGGGCCTGTAATTAATAAGAGATGCTACAAGCATTACCACTTTCTCATGGCACTGCTCTATTTTTACTTGGTTCTTGATATTCAGACATGTTAACATGCTGACACGTGTTTTACAACATTTTACAAACTTAGCATCTCTACCGTGCAGGCTGAATAGTAAATGCACTTTTCAAAGCTTGGATAACTGCTGTTTAAGAAAAAAAAAAGATTCCAAATGGTCTATTTTAGCCATATCCCAGCCGTGACCCGGCCCAGCCCTCCCTGCAGCCTCTTCCTGCCATGTGCCAACATGGTGGCAGTGCTGCCCCACAGAGCAGCCCAACAACAACCACACAGCAGTGTGCAGTCAGCACTGCCTGGCATGACAGGTTGAACCTTCCCACCAGTATCCCATTCCATTTTGTTGCCATGTTACAGATGGCAGCAGAGGAGCAGTCTGACCAAATGGCGTCTGACGTGGAAGTGCATATGAAACAAAGGTGTGGCATTGGATTTCTCTGCGCGCAAAAAATGGCACCCGCTGACATTCCTTGACAGTTGTTGAACGTTGTCAGAGACCAAACAGTGGATTTGAGCACAGTGAGGTGGTGGGTGGTGCGTGTCAGCAGTGATCACATTGGCAGTGAGTCACTTCCACTGGTGCAGATTTTTACAAGCATGGCATGCAGGCTCTTATCTATTACTGGTGAAAATGCATAGCTAATGGTGGTGACAACGTTGAAAAGTAGTTTTTTGTAGCTGAGAATTTGCTTTATCAAACAGCATTATTGTGTGCTTTGTCTCCATTGTAGTTTCCATCCACCGGTCCCCGTGGAAGTTCAGCAAGTGTCAATGGGCCAAGGAGAGAACAGGCTGAGGACAGCAATCCCTAATTGGCCTTCTCACCACCTGGGGTGAACCCCAGCACCAGGCCCCAAGGACCTCACAGGCCCTCCATGGAACCCCTTGCAGTCCCAGTGCGGTGCCCAGAGGACGCCAGGCCCTCTCTTCCCCATCATTCTCCTTTGGGATCAGGGCAGAAGAGATGCCACCTTCTCATACTCAGATGCAGAGGTGAGGGAGGGAAAGGGCAGCTGATGGAACCCTTAAAAGTCAGCCGTTTTTTAATGATTGCATATCCCTTGGCTGCTTGCATGATGTCACTATGCTTTGCCTCTTCTCTGCTGCTGTCTGGCACCAGGATGGCTCCATGCTAGGCAGCTGCAGGGTCCTTGAGAACCCCCTTCTCCAACCCTCTTGGTACCTTCCTGCAACCATCTCACAGAATGGGCCATGGGCCTCAACTCCCAACAGCCGTGTTTTGTTCACCACAGGACACTCAGAATCCTATTGCCATGGCCACCTTCTGTTTCAAGCCCTATAAATACGGGGACCCTGCATACAGAACACCAGTTGCTGAGCTGAAGCAGCCAGTGACAGCTTGTGAGATATATTAAGAAGTTTATTTCCCAGAATGAGGATGAGGAATCCACCTTTCAAGAAGAGGCAGATGATGGAAATGGGCGATGACGTAGAACCCATGGAGGTGGATCCACCTGGTAGTGATGAAGAGCCACATGGAGGTGGATCAACCTCTGGAGAATGACCTGATGGAAGTGGATCCACCTCTGTTGGAACAGATCAGTCACCAAGCTATCACTGTCAGGCCAACCATGAAGAAATTTGCGCCCCAGAGATTATCATAGGGGCGCTGGGATCAATATGCCTCCCTCCAAACAGCTGCCTCGATGCAGGTGCTGATCCTCCCATCCCATAGGTTTATCATTACCCAGGAGAGCCCCAGCTCAGGGCCATCCTGTGGGCTCACATGGAGCCTTCATTTCCTGGTAATTCATCTTTTGACAGCCAAGGCTGTTATGAGCCCATCCTTCCTTTCCTCCTTCCTCATCCCTCCTCAAGGGAAAGAAGGGATGAGAAGTGACAGAGGCAGCTGTTCCTGTGGAGAAGCAGACTTTAGTTCAGACAGGAAGAAGCGCTGAACTTCAGCAGGAAGATCCAATCCAGATGCTCCACTTGGCCTTTTTTTTTTTCAAGATTAGACAACCAACAATTTAAAATAGCAATTCAAAATAAATACTAATAATGAAAACACAAAATAAACAATTTTTTTTTCTTTTATAAAAACAGTAGTTGTGCCTCTTTTTTTTTTGGAAGTGTAGAGTTTGCACGTAGGCTCCTGCATCCCCTCCTTGTTTATACCCAGCAGGAACGAACCCCTCATTTCCAGCCTGAGGAAGAACCACTGCACCACACACACCACGGTTGTCCCCCAATACAGGAATTTGAGAACAGGTTTCAGGATTGAAAAAAAATCAATTTCTTGCTATAGTTGTGACTCCATTCTGAGGAGACATAAATACATTATCTGCAAATTTTCAACTGCAGTGCGTAGAGTTGCAATCAGGCATTCAACTCAGCAATCTGACCTTTGTACGCCCTCTCTGACCAAAGAGAAATATCCCTCCATTCAGTCACACCTTATTCATGCTGTCACTATTTGGCAGTTCATACATTTGCAAACGACTGTTTTCAAGGATGAAATACAGGAGAGTAACATTTCATCAAAAATCTCTGATGAACACCTCGAGAGCTAACTGAGAATGGCAGCCACTGCCATCAAACCAAGCATTAGTTTCACAGAAACAAAGCCAAATATCCTACTAGTTTCATGTTTTTGATGCTCTCTCTTTTTATGTTTTAATAAATGCATACATATTTAAAAAGAAGTTTTGTTAATTATTCTCCTTTTTGGGGCCATCCTGAGGAACACTTCCTCACCTGTGCAGGAGCGGAGCAGCTGCAGCTACAGCCTTGGACATTGGCACCTGCTGTCTCCTGCCTTGGTTCCTTGCAGGG